GATGTAATCTTAAATCTTAGAACAGTTCAATTCTTTGAAGCACAATTCTCCCTGCTTGGACTTTAGATTGCAAGCAATTTAAGGAATTGTTTAGCTTAATTAATTCATGTTTATTAATGCACTGTAAATCTACAAATTCAAAAGGCACAATTGTAGGGACTCCAGTAAACCAAAATGAAAAAACAGCCTATCAAAGGAAGTCCTTTCAGTCAAACTTAACTACTACCCACCACTAAGTAAAAACCAAATTCTAGACCTTAAGCCAAATTACCTATGAGATACAGCAAGTAGTATCTTTTCATTATATTAAATTCCCCAAATGTTGCACTCACATATCTTTTTCTCTTTGTCACCTGCAGTTGGCTATTTCACAAAGATTGGCAAATAATTAGGCTGCTTAAATTCACCAATGAAAAAAAAATCTTTATAATGAAATGCATAGTTTGTTACTCTCTTGTCTGGTTACATTATGTTGAAATGAATAATGCAACAATTACACATATTTGGCAGATGGCACCGCCTACAGTATATGCATAAAAAACACACCAACAGTTGTCAAAATGATGGTGATAATCTAAAATTATATTCAGAAATCAAATAGTTTTACCTATCCTTTTGCTTATGTGTATACTTATTACATTATCCATTACAAACAAAAATATAACAGATCCATAAGTGTTCATTTATTAGGAGAGCAAAGGTGTTATAAAGTAATATATATCTCTACTGCATTTCAGTGCCAGCAAGGGCTTCCAAAAAATGCTTTGGTAAGATAATTTCTATTCATTTCTTCAAAGCTTCATGTACAGTACAGTGGCTTGCAAAGGTAATCAGGTGCTTGATCAGTTTCTCATTTTTTTTGCTTTAAAACTTGCTGCCATGACACTTTGAAGCCGCAATTAACTCCACACATTCAAAGCAAAAAAAAACAAAGAAAAATGGGAAACTTAAGACAGCATATGTATTCAAACCATTGGCTGTGGCAGAGCAACAACAAATTAATTTAGGCAAATCAGAGGAAAACCTGCTTAAGTCTGCTAAAGAACTGAAACTGGGACTAAGACTCACTTTAAACATGTGAATTACAAGGTTAAAGTTACACTGGAGTGGCTTAGGAATAAGGAAACGAATGTCCTTGAGTGGCCCAGTCAAAGGCCTGACTTGAATTCTCTTGAGAATCCGTGGAAAGACTTGAAAACTGCAGTCCATAACCAATCCATAAGCATGAGAGAGCTTGAGCAAATCTGCCAAGGCAAATGGGCAATGAATACTGTTCTTTAGAGTTTTCTCTTTACTTGTTGCTGACATTCACTGTAAAGTATCTTAGTCTTGGGACTGAGCATTAAGGTTTTGAATACAATACTGTATATTAAGTTTAGAAATGTGCATTACATCATGATGTAATTACACAAAATAGGGAATCACAGGAAAGGTCTGAATACTTCTGCAAAGCACTGTATAATTCAAAATATCTAAAAGAAAATAAATGAAGTACTATAAATTAAGTTTATTATTCATGCAGAGATTTCAACCTAGCAGTCACTGCACATTATATTTTAACCTGTGATCTATATCGATATACGAAACTAGGTGGAATCTGTTTCAAACACTGTCAGGGTGACAGAAATATAAGCTGGTTCAGTCGGTGTACAACCTTTTATGGACATAGAACAACAAAGTTTCTAGGAACTGGTGCATAAGCTAGAAGCCATTATCCTTTTATTTTATTTATGAAACTTCCCAGATGATGAATTTATTACTTCATGCTAACTGTGTGAATGCAAGAACTCCATGTATCCTGAAAATGAAACACACGTAAGCATCTTGAAAAACACTGTTTATACTGTATGATGTAGGATCACTCCTGTTTTTCAATCCACAACAATAAAGCACTGATGAATATCCAGAAAATAATCTTCTTCTTCACTTCTGAGGATTCCAAGCTATGGCATCCAAAAAAAACAGAGCTCTGGAGTTGCATTAGAATTTATATTTTTGGCCAAATGCCTGAGAAGCCCCGAACTCCAAATGCAAGAGCGCAAAAAAAAAAAACTGTTGTAACAAACTAGAATGAAAAAAAGGCAAAAGACAAAGATCCACAATAGGAGGAGACAATGATAAAGGCATTCACAGTCAATACGATTTCAACTGAGATGCTCAGAACCAAACCTACATATCCTTATATTCATTCCAATGACTAATATAAATGAAAATGTTTAAAGAGATATTTCAAAAAATGCATTAAAGGTTACACATGATTCAATAACAAAAAAAAACAGACATCCATTCTAAGCACTCTTTGAAACAAGAGGACATTTTTGTCTCAAATGCCTTTTAGGTAAGAGAACAGAAAAGATTTAGTACAATTAGTACAGTATGGCTCACAGCATCCTACAGTAATACCACCCACAAAGCCGTTTACACAACACAGTTGTTTAATAAAGAAACACCATGTATTGGAACATCAAGTACAAATTTCAATAAATTATTATGATATTAACAAATAAAATAAATGTTTAACCAAATTAATTGTCAGCTGTGATTTTTCAACACTTCTTGTTGCATCATTAATGCTCCATATTTTTTTTCAGGCAGTCGTGAATACCTGTTACACTCATCTATGTCTTGTAGTACAGCAAGTCTATCAAGTCTAATTAATGCATTGTTTGGGTTAATCTCTCACTTGAACACCTTTATAGCAATATTTTTCCTATCTTTTGCCAGCAGTTATATCGCACTGCAGCTCTCAACTGGCTACCCACTGAAGCTAAGCAGGGTTGAGCCTGTACCTGGATCTGGTCAGTACCTGGATGGGAGACCTCTTGGGAAGCTATGGTTGCTGCTGGAAGTGGTGTTAGTGGGGCCAGCGGGGCAGCACCTACCCTGCGGTCTGTGTGGGTCCTAATGCCCCAGTATAGTGGAGGGGACACTATACTGTAGTGGGCGCCGTCTTACAGGTGAGACGTTAAACCGAGGTCCTGACTCTCAGTGGTCATTAAAGATTTCTCAATAAGAGTAGGGAGTTATCCTGGTGTCTGGAACAAATCTCCCCCCTTGGCCTTTACCATGGCCTCCAAATTGTCCCCATGTATGATTGGCTTACACTTGCCCTGCAATGGACTGGCATCCTCTCCAGGGTGTACCCTGCCTTGCGCTCGTTGCTTGCCAGGTAGGCTCCGGTTTCCTGTGACACCGTATGGTATAAATCGGTTTGGCAAATGACATGACTTTTCCTATCTTTTAACTGTGTCTGAACAAAGATTTTGAGCTGAGTGTCAGAATAACATGCAGCAACAAACTCGCCTAACATACAGAGGTGAGTAGTATACTGTACGTGTGGACTTTGTGTCAATACACTAGAATGTGAAAGGTTACAACAACACCTGAAAACAATAAAGGAGAAGGAACTGTACAGTACATGTATTTAATAGGGACTAAATACTTGAATTAAAAAGAAAGTACTGTATCAAAGTAAACTGGTTTCGACAAGTCTTTCAAGATCAAAATAAGAAACAGACAGTGCTGTTAAAAAATCATTTTAAAATCAAATTATAATCCTTTAGAATTGATGAAAAACACGAAACTTATCTTAACTTACAGTATCTTTAAGTTTGTAAGGAAAAAATAGCTTCTGGCCTTTTGTGCTTATACTTTTACTCCTCATAAAAAACACACACATGCAGAAACCTGTATGTGATATTGTACTTTTCAAACCACCTTTCAAAAGCGGAACAAGATTAGGCCTATTTTGAAGTCTAAAAAGAAATTCTTGTTTCTAGTAGTTAAAGTATATACAGCACTCATCATTGACCACTTTTTAAAAAATCCATCCAAGCCTGTGTTTATACCTTATATATTTATATCTATATCTAAATGTATATACTGTAAATAATTCATCTACACCAAAATGTACTTCAGCATACTGTATATTCAGTTATTACTGTATTTGTCCCTCAAATATAAAATTACATTCAAGCACTATCTTCTACTTAATGTTTGCTGGAGTATATTTAGATTCGTTAGCATAGTTTGTTTTTTATATCTTTCTATATTTATTTGATAGATTTGGTGAATCCTATGTACTGTATCCAATCAAACTTAACACTTAAAAATGCATGTTATGTATCTATAGCAGTTACACACACACACGCAATTTAATAAGAAAAGATGGAATAGATCTAAAATAATACAAATCTCTAAGTAATTCTTTACCAACAATTTTTTAACCTTGCGAAAAAGTAGGTTTTAGGACGTCATTCTAATCTTTAAACATATTAATGAAAACGGGAGATTTTCATAAACCCGGCCAGTCCAATAAATATTAGAAAACCCAAGAATCGTGCATAGTAAGCTTCCTGAAACTTTCCAACCCTTATCCATTCATTGTTTTAGCGTAACAGGTCAGCATAGGGTTTATCAGACTTTAAATCTGAAACTGCACAACTCGTGGATTAAGTACTGTAAATACTGTACCGTACATAATCAACCCATTACTTCCTATTGATTAATCTTTAAAAGTGTAATTTACAAACAAAACGTTACAGTACACAATGAACAATATTGGGTACCAGTGAAGGTATCAACCATAACAAAGTGACATTTCAAACTAAATCTTATTTTAGCATTCGTGCCTATCAGATTACCATTTCCATAAAGAACCAAATAGCGTCGCTCCCCTTAACTCCTCGTAACCACCTCAAGGCACGGCGAGCATGACTTGGCCGCATACTTTCAAATAGGTTTGTGTAATACAACAATCCCACTCCATTTCTCATTTGACACATAATCAAATCAGCATTTCTAATGTTTGGTTAAGGATAATTAACTTTGGCTACGAATTTAGAATTGGACTATCATCCTTTAATGAATGGGACGGAAATAACTTGTCCGGTGGTGTGAATTACTATTAAGTACAGTAGATATCACATAAGGATAAAATATTTATCTCGGCGTAAAAATATTTTCAAAGAAATATACACACAGTTAAAAACGTGACATACCTTGAATCAGAGATGAATAGTTTTAAAATCCATTCTTTTAGCCAGGGTCCGTTTTCCAATATGCAGTACACTACTAACACTGCATACATGCAACCTGATGTAAGATGTAAGTCTTCTCGGCATAAAATAAGGCATTTGTTGAAGTACAAAACAAAGAAATATCACACTCTCTGTGGGTAAAATACCAACTTTAAATGTTGCAGACACAAATATTGTCTTTCCCGGCTTCAAAATCACGATTCCCACTGTGTGACGGCGCACTGAACTAATTTCATGTGATATTTTTTCTTTCTTCCTCCTCTCTCTTCTGTAGGCAGCTCCTAGTAAACACGACTGACTGTGAGGTACTGAGAACTAGGGAAAAGTAGGTCAGTCTGCAGCTCAGTGCTTAACGACATCATCATTAGCAACCAACTACACAACTCGCGATTCAGGGCTGTACGCACAGGAAGAAAAAAAACAGACTACTTCAGCAGAAAATTAATGTTTTATTAGATTAAACAGTTTTTTTTCTCTTTTTTTAATTCCCCCTTTACATTTTATTGACCGACGAGCTGTCGAATTTTCGAATTCGGTCTTTAAATATACAACATAAGCATGATTTTAGCGGACGTATTTATCTCCCGATGCGAGTTATTTATAAACTTATTCATCTGTTTAATGTTTTCATAAACACTCTACCGAGTTGACTACTACAGGAAGAGCCGTGATCCGCACGTAGGAAATGCTTTCTCCGGTAATACTCAATATGAGCGCACCCTAAGGATTGCAACAGGTAGAGCATTTATTCATCGTCACAACTCTCTCCCGCTGCCAAAATACTCCCCAGTAGCCAAGGATGAAAATAATAAGAGCAGACTGAAAATAAAACTTTTTTTTACCAACTAATATCACTTCTCACATTTGAATTTGTCCTAGACCAGTTTAACTCCCAGTTCCATTCGTTTTAGTTAATAATTAAAAATAAGAGATCTTTCTAAAAGTTGACATCTGAGATATTTTCCGTGCGATATCAGTAATGGAACCCCATGGTCCTGAATTATTAAACGACCTGCAAAAATATTTGTGTCATTGGAGAATATGAATAGTTTGCTAAAACATCACAACATGCCACAAAGCGAGAAACGATATGATGCAATATCCAAAAATAATATAAAGTTAATACTGTACCAACGTGAGACGTTGTACAGTACATACAGAAGAGAGAAGTGATTCACACTACAACATGATTAATAGAAATGCACTGATGTGTGGCTGTGAAAACTCTTCTTTGATTGTAATCAGTCAAAATCGGGAAAAAAAATGTTTCGACTCTTTCAACATGTGGCAAAGATTTAATACGGAATTGTTTCAGTGTCCTAGAAGCTCCCCGGTGTTGTGAAACAAAAGGCCAAAGGGTAAACCAAAGATTACTGTTATGCAACCATGACAATCAGCTTACTCCTCATTGGCTGGATCATTCCTGAAGGTGGGATTCCCGTCTTAAATAATAGACCCTCTTGAACAAGTACAATAAACCTTTAGTTTTAAGCTTAACAAGTTACTGTCCCTTCTTGCAAGACAGGTTCATTTTCTTTAAATCTCTATTTGCTGTAAGTGTTTAGACAATATTTCTAGTACACCATGAAGAAGTACATTAATTTTTTCCCATGTTGAACCATTAACTGATAACTTTGACAAGATACAGTAACTTTAAGCCAAATCAGCACACATGCAGTATTAGTGTTTAGTTAAGCAGCAACCGTTTTTATATAAATCAAAGAAAACCAGTGTCACAACAGCTGGCATTTCCCCTTGTTAAAGAAAAAAAAATGTTATTTGTTCAGATACTATGTTAATTGTGATTACCTTATAATAAAAACAGCTTGTAAATGTATACAGCAATTAGATTAGCACAGACCACAAAAACATAAACCCCACCTACTGTAGCAGACACTTGTTTAAGATCTTTAAATAATAAAATCTTAAAAAAAAAACTAAAAATACTGTTAACTACTCTTAGTGTACTGTATATTGAAAAGAAAAAACAGATAACATTCTGGAAACTTTTAAACATGTACAGTAGTATACAAAGAAAAACTTGTATTCAAGCACAATTTTGCTATAAATGGTGTATTTGAAATATACTATAATTTAAGAATGCTCTAAACAGTTTATTCATGATTATGATGAGATGCATCCACATTGCAAGATGTCAAGTACTAAATACTATATTTCAGAGCGCACCTTTTATCAATTTGATTTTTCTTAATAGTGGGAAAATAACACAACATAGATTTTCATTTACTTGCTGAGCAGAAGCACTTGTCCAGGGAAATTTAAATATACATAAAGTTTATGTTATGAGTAACAATCAAGAAAACCATCTTTAGAAGCCATGAGCCAGAGCCTTACCCGACAGGCCCGTTGCTCAAAGAAGGACTACACCCTGCAGGAGACGCCTGCTCATCGCAATTCACACACACATACTGGATACGTGGTGGGTGGCGCGGTGGTGCAGTGCTTAGCATTAATTTATATGTTCTTCCTGTTTCACAAGGTTTCCTCCAGATGCTCTCCTTTCTTCCCACTGTCCAAAATCCTGGAAGGTTAATTGGCTTCTGTAAAATTGGCTCTTGTGTGTTTGTGTGTGTGTTTGTATCTGTGTGTCTGCACTACCATGGACAGGCGTCTCATCCAAGTTGCATCCAAGTTGGATAGGCTGTGGTGTCCCCCGTGACCCTGTACTAGATAAAGCACTTAAGAAAATGGATGGGTTGATATATGCATGGAGCAATTCAGAGATACTGTACCAATTAACCTGGACAGCATGTCCATATAAGAAATAAGCTTAGAAAATGGATGGGTTGATGCATGCATGGAGCAATTCAGAGATACTGTACCAATTAACCTCGACAGCATGTCCAAATAGCTCTGTGGTCATTAAAAATCCCAGGGTGTTTCTCGAAAAGGGTACGGGTGTAACCTTGGCGTCCTGGCCAAATTTCCCATGCCTCCTAATAATCCCCCTCTATGAATTGGCTACATTACTTTGTTCTGCTCCCCGCCCCCAACCCCCACTCTGACGGCAGAAGGAGCAACGTGCCAGTTGGAGTATTCTTGGTCACTTTTAATGGCAACGTCAGCTCAAAGATTTGGTTCAAACCACCAAATGGAGACGGGCGTCCCGACAAGCGGACCCTGCCGATGCGGGATTAACGCTAGGATGGGAGAGAGAGAGCATGTCCAAATAACATGTGGACACATGAAGAACATGCAAGCTCCACCCAAAACCCAAGACGAATAAGGCACTAGCCACTGTACCATCTAGAATATACTGTACCAAATCATCTAACAAATTAACAATTTTCAGAAATGTATTTTATGAAAGGCTGGCACATTTGTGAATTCTCCCATAACAACTATTATGTTATGTAACAGAAAATGTAAAAAAAACTAATTTGTATTTTAAATACATATTTGTTACTGATGTTGACAGTAATCATTCAAAGCATTGGGTTGTTTATGTATTTATATATACCTGCATACCATAAAATTGAAGGCTTAGTTGAGTATACAAACGCACAAAAAAAATATGTTTTAATACCTTATACATGATCTTAGAAGCAGGTGAACAAATACATGAATTCATCTATGCCTGATTACACTTGATATTCTTTAACTAGACTACACATAAAATGCTGAATAGTGCTTTGTACAAGATCGCACAGCTCTTTAGTGTGGAAATAAAGCATCCCTTCACAAAAGTTAATGAAAGACATCTGACAAATTGACATTCCACATGTTAGAAGAATCAATTAGGAGGAAGTGTTTGATCCCTCCATGTAGGTGGAGGCATGCAACTGAGTGGAAAATCATCTATAGTACTATGTTAAGCACATCCAACCACGACAGCAAATGACCAATAGTCATTTAGTGACGCAATACCATCAGACAACCACTGTTGTGTTAGAGCTCCTGAAAAACCACAGGGGGTTGGAAAACAACCCCGTATTTGCCATGCCAATGTGGATAATTACTAAAAATAAAACTACACTGTGGATTGCTACTAGAAATAATTACTGGAAAACTACTGGAAATAACCTGTTTTTAATTCTGTCACTGCTAGTGTTTCAACAATGCAATGTGGACCACAGAAAACATCCAAAACAATGCAAAACAATTTTACCTGTGAACAACTGTGGAGAGAATATGGGCTTCGCTACTATTTTCATGAGAGCATTCCTCTGCTCATCACCTGATCAGTTCACAGCAGCTGCGCCAAGCTTCATTTCAATTGACAATAACGATTGTCCCCCAGCATGGCAGGACACCAGATGACTTTCTCAGAGATGCGTTAGTGTGCCAGGATTGATTGACCCATAAGACTGCCTTATCTCAAATCCATTAAGCATGTCTGTTATGCTCTTTGCCAGTCACAACATCTTCAGCCTACTCCATGGCTAGTCGGTCCTGTAAGGAGAATGGAAAATTCCAGAAGAACTGTATCAAATCCTCATTATTCCCAAACCTGCGCGGCAAATTTGGGTGACCTCATACCACACCAAACAGTGTTTCTATATGTCTGATGCGAGAAACAGTAGTGGTTCTCATTTCCAAAGTGCTTACGTTACAGAGGTACCTGTAGGTCGAATTTTTTCTTCTTTGTACACTGTACTACTGGCACACATAAAATATTTGATATTTGTCAGTTTTCCAAGGCTCAGTTATACTGTCCACAAACAAACTAAATCAGCCACAAAGTAAGAGACTAACACTTTTGCAACAGAAAGTATCACCCTGGGTGTTGTGTTGATCATTTGGAGCAAGATAATATTCTTGCTTTAAAATGTTACTGATGAATTTCATACCTGTAGAAATACTGAAAAATTTCTCTTTACAGTTAAAATTTGTTATTTACTGTTCTAAAAAGTAAGGATGCTATACACATGTATTGTAAGATTTCAGGCATACGTCAGCAATTACATTCATTTTACCCTTTTGTTTCCTGTTTCATGAGTACAAATACAAGGTTATAAATAGCTAGCTTATATAAACAATAGAAGCTACAGGAAAAAGCATACCCTGTCACACACATTCTGATGTGGTGTATTTTGTAATGTTATCTTATGCAAATGCTGTTCTGAAACTACAGCACCAAAGTTACCAGCAGAGACTTGATCTAAATTCAAAGTTATAGAGGCACTGCAGCATGCGGTGTCACATTTAGTGTGTCAGTCCTACTTCCAAATGTATTTGAAAATTTGTATTTTATATTTTAGATTGCAAAAGGATTTCATACAATGGGATAAAATTGAATTTATTTCTAGGTGCCCCAATTTTACAATT